AAGTTATTTGTTATTCTGGTATTCATAAATGGCATAATTCAACAATTGTAACACTACACTGCCAAACCATTGGCCAGTCATATGACATTACTTCTTATCACACTTATCAGAACCATGGTAAATTGCTAGTAACTTGTATACCATGACCTGACTGAAAGATCTATTAATACAAATTTGTATCTATTAATTTATAACTACAGTACTGTCCTTTTAATAGTCATGTAACAGTCAATATTATTCCATTATTAAAGCACATAAGTTGGAAGGCTTCTGAGAAAAGTGTAAGGAAATTATTTTAACATGTACCTTATAAATAAGACATTTCTTTCAAGATTTTTTCTTCATTAAACAGGATTTTTATACTACTTCTGATGTCATACAACATTATCACAATCTTTCAACAATCACACATATTATCCATATTTTTTTCTTTTCCTTTGAAAAATACTTAAGAAATTAAAATTTTTGCATAATTTTCTGATAATGTTTCAATTCACATTTCTTTAATCGCAATATCAGTCAAAAAGTTAAATACACCCTAGCACTTCTTTTATTTCTCAACTGAACTTGTTGAATATTGAAATCTCCACATAAAAACATGATATGACAAGAATAATAATCAAATGAATAGTCTGCACACAGAACAAGAGTTTGATCTTTGCAAATACAAGTTATACTATGTTTAAAAAGCACACATGTTTAGACTCAAAATTTTTTATTTCAATGGTTAAATGATTAATTATTTTTTCAATACTATTGAATCTTCTGGATATTTCAAAATGAAACGCATTCCTCTTAGTAACTTAGGCAGAAATCTCATTAAGATTCATCATTTTGTTCACAATAATAAAATCTTATAAAGTGTTTGATTAGTTCAAAATCATATTTCTGGTTCTTTTGCAATTAATGCAATTGTTCACTATTATATTAACTCATGATCATATCGAATTTCATATTATTTTGGGACCGTAAACTGGGGTAAAACCGATCATGTATTTGTGTTTTTCGTGTGTAAAGCTTGTAATAACGTGCACAAATACTCTCAGATTTCTTATATAGAATTTTTAACTTTCCATTTATGTACTCCCAAATTCCCATAACCCTCGTAAAGCAGGTTTTCCTCCATTTTGCTAATTAAATATGATCAGAATTATCCCACATGTTGAGGTGAAACCTGTCTATTCAATTTCTGTATTTTAAACTTTCACACTGTTCTTTGCCAAAAACTGATCAGAATTTTAGTTTTTATAGATAATTTATATATAATTATATGAAATTAATAGAGAAAAGTCGGCTAAGCTTTAATAACTAAAATAATATTGCAAACGGATAGTAATTCATGGAGTTACAGGCAAAATGTTCACTACAAGTAGATTGAGAAAGATATAATAAGCAAACAAAAACACACATAAAAAGAACAAAAAAGTATCAAAATAAAGTCTACATTGAACACTGACATCATGTAAACATGTAAAAATATGTCTTCCTCTCCTGATACGTCCCTTTACTTTCATAACATTTGTCTTTCTAACTTCCTGTACATCTGAAAATTTTTGGAAATTGAAAATATTGATCTTTTGAATTAAATTATTTTTCTCCTTACATTTACAATATATTTGTATTTACATAAAAAAATGTCCACTTTACTAACAAATTTTCTGGTGTGTTTGTTGGAAATCGAACCAATACAAAATCACCTGTCTAAATATCATCCACATGATTTTGGCAAACTTCTTTATTTCCTAACAAACAACTTACATTTTTAGATTCTTCTCCTTCAATTGACAAATTTTCTTTTTCACTTTCAGCTTCCGTCATTTCACTATCTTCTTCCCGCGTGGAAGAAATTTCTTCAGGTTCATCTTCTCCCATATCTCTGACCATAATTCCTTTACCTGGAGGTACATTCAAGCATTTTCCTCTCCCTCTCTCCCCACATATGCTTTCTGAAGATGAACATAGGTCTCAGTCAATATTTGCGATTTTTCCCAGTTTTCTTCAGCCACAGTTGCAATAAACAGAGAAAGGGATTTCTCAGGATTAAACAGAATAATTCCAGTTTTCGTAAATCCACTATTAATACATGCTGAAGTAGCAACACCAATTTTCTCAAATGTTAGCTTAAGTAAGGCAGGGTATTCTGCTTCAGGAAGAACTGCAAGACTTTCTTTCTTTCATTTATTTAGAACATTTAAGCAGCTTGAAGAGTGTCTAAGGGTTGGCACAAATGCATTGAATTTGGTGTAGAAGAATAAAATAAATATTGTTTTTCTCACAAAGAGTAATTTACATTCAGACTGAGATGACTAGATATATTATCTCCTCTCATTACTTTTCTGCCTTCTGAAACACATGCAAGTTTCTTTATATGTGTTTTTTCTTGACCTGTCTGTGAATTTGGTTTTATCATAAATTATTACATCAGAAGAGGGGATTTGAGCGAGAAATGTGATGATTTTTAAAGTTCTTTTAATTGTTTCCTTAGTTACAGCAGCTCTACTAATATTCTCAGCCATTCTAATGGAAAGTTTTGTATACCAACTCAGAAATCTCTTTACACATTCTGAATCAGACCGATTGTCTTTGAACCACTTTTCAATTTTACCAGAACAATTTAAATATTCTTGAAAGAAATTGCACACATCCAGACTTCTCCAACCCAATTTTGCACACTGAATTAACCCTCAGTAGGTGGCATTTCTTCATTAACTGATAATGCAGTCTACCTATTTTGAATTTATATTTATTTATAAGTTTATCATTTAGCGTTGTATACAATACAGCATACTTCTCAGATGCCTTGCTTTTATTACAACATTTGCCTGCACATCATATACTGCCTTATTTAGGTATTTTAAGATATAATTTTGTTTCCCAGTTTCTTTTTACAAACTCGTACCATGATTGAATTTACCCTACAAAATAACACATTTAGGTTTGTCTGCCAACCAGATATTCAAATGTGAAAACTATAAAGCTAAATAACTGCCTACATAATACACAGAACTTACCTGTGCAAAATTTTATTTCACTTTTATCAAACAACCTGTGTTATGGTAGTTTGTTTCAACCCTTGGGTAACACATACAAACTTTTTGCAGAACTATAAGGCTCTTGATTGCAATGTAAATTGCAAATGCTCTTTAACTTTAGACTGATTATTCAAGAACATTTGAAACATTCCATACATGACGGAAAGTGATTCCCAGAATTGACTGGTAGAGTGACAACAATTCAAAAGTGAATTCTGGCGTGAACAATCAGATTTACCTCACCTGATCATTTTTACCCCAGTTTACAGTACTCTGCCATCACCATCTTTAGGACATAGTGAATTTCAAATACATACTAACAAAACATTCATCACAAGTCAATTTTTACAATGGAGATATCTGTTGAAAATAAAATCATCAGTTTCATATTCTGCTTCATATATACTATGCTCTTCTTTGGAATAGAACATCCCTTTCCCTCTATGTTTTTCATGTAGCAACACTATGGTTTCATTAATTCACAGTACTGATTTCACACCAATAGAGTATATTTTGAACATATCCAAATTTGACAAGATTTAAATTTTCAAAATCTTATGCTTATTATAGAACTCTGAATAAAAAACTCATTTTTTCAAACAAAATATTTTAAATTTCAAGCAGGAAAGACAAAACTTGAGTTTAAAATAACTTGTTTAACTTTAAAATTATTTTTTTATATATACATTTTGAAGTTGATTTTACCTTTTGTTTATTTTATTTCATTTCATTTTCAAAGGCCTTAGTCGAAAAAAAATATGTTTTTCTCTTTTTGCAATATCTCTTTTTACTGCTGAGAAGGAAGGTCATTTACACTTTTGAACTCATTTAGAATATTCAAAAGTTTCCTTGAAAATAACCCTAATATATTATTCAATGTACTGTATTTTATTGGTGCAAAAGTTGCAACAAAAAATTTGATTGAGAAAATACAATATAATAAAATATTGCAACCATGAAGGTAAATGTGTTTTAGGAGGAAAAGGTCAAAAAAGCTTGAACTTTTGCAATTTTCAATAATTCAAAGGTTTGAATGAAAATTAGACTTTTACCACATCCATAAATACCGGTAACTGTATTCGACAACGAAAAAAGTGGGACCATTTTTGCGTAAATTTAGGAAGTATTCTCTGAGCTTCGTGTTAAGTTACTCTCAACATTAAAAGATACATACGTATTTCAAATTAAGGGCCTCAAGATGACCCAATCGAAGAATATTCATTTTTGAGAAAATCATTGTGTGATTTAGGAACTAATTTTGTTTGCACACTTACAGTGTACACTGTTTAAGTTTCACTAATGATGTCTTCTGATACCATAATCGGATCATCATTAATTATAGTGGTATCAGCAGGAGATTTTACGGTCAAGAAAAATTCATTTAAATCAAGAGTACATTTACAAAACTTATGGCTGAATAAACATTAAAAAATATAAACAAGAAAATGTACAATTTTATTCTTTGGTCTCCACTCTGCCAGCCACCACTCTGATTAGCATTTTTCTGTGTTTACTCTTCCATTTAAGGATTTGTTGTGATGGTCTTTGTTTTGAAATTTCAATTTACTCCCATCTGTAAATTAAATTAAAAATTGGAGAGATTTCAATATTCAAACTTTTTAGCCATTTGTGTTACTTATAAAAGCCTTATTACACAATTTAGATGTTTTAAAGACCATTATTTCATTCAAAAGTATTTTGTAACAACGAGTTTCAATGCCATAAATTGAGAAAATTCAAATGGAATAGATTAATTTTTAAATGAATTCATGCCAGTGCATGCAAAATTTTGCAGGAAGGAAATAGTTACAATTTTAAATACCTCTTTTCATTGTAGTTTGTAATATGCAGGGTGTTGGACACTGTTTACAGAACATCTCAGAGAAGTAGAAAATTGACATTAAAAAAAATGTTTTTACGAAAAAATAGAATAAATATAGAAATTTATTAACATTGTAATGTACTTACCAAGAAATGCATCTACTTGACCAGCAACACCTTTAATTGCCTTCAGAAATATGTGGGGTAGATTACTTAAACAAGGATGCTGACAAGGATCAACAACATTTTCACTGGTGATAGCAAACTGAAGAAACTTCTGAGTTTGGCTAATTGTTGCTGGTCGGCACAGATCAACAGGATTCCCAAGACAATGCATGAATCTAAACCAACTTTGAGCAATACAGTCAGCACTGACATTGTTTGGAATCAGTTGCGAATCTTCTTCCGCTGAAAATTAAAAACAATAAAACAATTACTCAAAAAAATCATCTTTTCTGTCTACTTTAAAACATTGCTATAAATCCTGCATTAATTAAAACCCTATTCTTGATATGCAGCAAATTCTGAAGATATTTTATTCTTCTTCCTTAAAAAAATATAGATCACAATATCATCAAAATATACATTACAATCACTCTATAATAATAGAGGTGGAAGAATATTGTAATGCTGCAGGAAAAAAACGTAATTTTTACACATGAAAACTCATTTTGTGAATCCCTAATACTAAAATAGTCAATCATTCTTGTTCCTATGTTGATTGATTGAGTGTTTTAGTGATTCCAGGCACGTCAACTAACAAGGTCATTGGTCCCATAAGTGCAGTGCATGTTTTTCTCTCAATAGGTGAGGATGATCTTTCCCTTGCTGTATGGCGAGATCCAGCACTGACCTACCGTTAGCTAGCGGGGTTTTCTCCAACCATGTATCATCCACTAGCGGAGCACCGTCCCAGTCAGGACAAGCTCTAAGCCCCTGACCGGTCTTCCGGCATGTGTAGTGTATGTATGTGTAGTGTTTTGTAGTGTACGTAAAGGGAGAGGATAGGACAAGGAAGAGGTAGGAAATATCATGCACGGTCCGTGGCCTGTTTGGTAGGGTACTGCTTTAGCATTCACCTGGTGTTGATCGGAGAAACCATGGAAAACTACCAATCAGAGCAGCTGGCCACCATTTGCTCCAGACAGCGACTTAATTCGGCCTAACTGACTAGCTAGTGATGAAAATCCTGCCACCGTCGGGAAACGAACCTAGGACCACCTGGTCACAGAGACTGCAGTGACATCAGAGCCATCTCTCCCGGTTTGTTCTTATGTGAAGTAAATATCTTCCTCTAACACATTTTGTAGATCCTTGGTTTACAGCAAAATGCTTCTGTCCATCTGTGATCAACACCAGTGCCTAAACTGTTCAGATGATAGTTTCCAACACTGATATTCCTCCATTAATCTGGATGAACCCAAAGCAACAAATTTGAAACATGTATTTTGATTTTTGGGGGTACTTCACAAAAAGCCTTAACATCATTTTCAAAAATTTCTCAAAGAAGGCTCCAAATTAATTTAAATTTACTCCTCAAATACACCAAAGATGTATGAAAAACAGCAGAAGTCCAATTTTTATTGAACTTTATGAATTTTCGAAAAATGCAAGTTCAAATTTTTTCGGTATCTTCCTACAACCACAATTTTGAAAATTGAAATTTTTTTCCTGAATAAAATCAGTTGTTTAAAGAAACATCTTGTGATGAGCTCATGTACAAATTTTCGAAAATACGAGTAGTTTTCGGGTTATTTTGTGTGAAATACAGACAATTTTAAACTATTTTCTTAAATACAGTTCCAAATATTTTTTTAATATTTTCTACTCATATGTATCAAAGAACGACAAAAACAACACAGTGGTCACGTTTTGGGCAAACTCTATCTGTATTTTCGATTGATGACTGATTGATTGTTAGTGATTCCAGACGTGTCAACTGCTAAGATTATTAGTCCCCTAAGAATAGTGCTTGATTTTTTTTCTTCAGGAGGTGATTTCTCTCTGTTGATGGCTAAAACTGGCGCTTGGCTAAACATATTGTCAACTAGCAGGGTATTCCCCAACAAGGTTCCCCACCAGCAAGGTCACTGCCCCAACCGGGACAGGCTTTAAACTCCCAACCAGTCTCCAGGCATGTGTAGTAGTGCACAGCGTATTAGTGTATGTAAGGGGTGAGGGTAAAACAAGAAAAAGGAAAGAAATATTGTGCGAGGTCTGAGGCCCATTTGTTAGTGTACTTCTCTGGTATTAGCCTGGTGTTGACCAGAGAAGGCATGCAGAACAACCGAACAGAGCAGCTATGGCAAGGATTTATATGAAATTGTAATTATCTAAATATGTACATACATATGGATTTAAAATATTCAAAATATGGACTGACAATTGAATAAAATGATAAAAAGAGTGAAAATAATTAATTAATAAAAATGTTTAAGTTTCATAAAATGATCAATTAAAGAATTTAATTTTAACATTAGCAGTAGAACAAAATTTAATCAATACTAAAATAAACATTGTGCTGTTAAAAATAAGTTTCTTGTTCATTTTTCAGATAATTGGCCATTTACAAAGCACTATTAGGGGGGGGGGGGTTACTATGTACTATTTTAAATTTTGAAAATGTAGATCTGATAATTTTATCTCTTATTGTTGCTATCAACTTGTTAAATGTCGCTCAACATTAAAAGGAGTAATGGAGTCTAGCTTGTAATATATGGCTGTAACATATGGTAGAGTTAAATTCAGATCCACTTCCAAATCTGATTTACCACTTTAAATTGCACTGAAAGTTAAAAATAAACTTCTAGAAATAATGTTGAAAGAGAGTAATATGGAATGTGTCAGAAGTAAAATGTTTAAATATGCCAAGATATGTGGTTTTTCCTTAAATACGGGAAAATACCTATTATAACTGGAAATACAGAGAAATATGGGTAATCAAATAGGCTTCAAACCACATCAAAAACATCAGTTATAAACATATAGCAAAAGTTTGATCACAACTAATGAAAAAAAAAGTATTTTTATACAAATCATAGACCTGTTTACAACAATAATGTTTTTATTAAATTTCCAAGTTTTGTGATCTACTGTTGTCTCTATAAATTAACTTCTCATATTGTTTAACATTCTGTAATAATCATTGTGGCAATGAACTTCTAAAGCTAAAGGCAAGAGTTATTTTAAGTGCTTGCCATATCATCCTCCAGATCAACAAATGTAAATAGACCCCTTGCTGGTTAAACCTTTCAAATTAAACCTCTTAAAGACACTTCATAACTTTTTTCTCCTTAGTGTTCTCCTTTTTATACAATATTATGGCCTGATGTCTGTGGGTATGTTTGACTTTACTATCCAGTTAAAAAGTTTCAAAAACAAAATTTGAATAAGGTTGTGAAAACTAATTAAAAATATAGTTGTTTTACTGTTTTATTTATGGAGTCACTCCAACAAAACTTTAATACTGGACTAAAGATTTTATTAATGTGAACTTACGAATCTTTAATTCTGGAAAAGCAGATCCATACATAAATTCAAGCAAACGTGCTGTAAGTGCCAAATTCACTCTATTCCACTGTTCAATTAAAGCTATACGATGGCGCCAATTCATGCATGTTTCTCTAAATGTCTTCCACAATGGAGGAGATGGAAAACAGCGAAAGCATGCTAATAGCCAAACTTCAAATAAGACACTAAGTACACGTTCACATAACTGATCACCAACATCATCTGTAAAACCAATAATTACATTGAAATTTAATTAAGGTCATTTACACTGCTAGCATTCAAATGGAGTATTCCATATCTTACACTTACCTTTAATAGTTGGGGGTGCTAGAAGCGTATCATTAATAGCCAAAAGAAAAAGTAACAATGCTTCCCATGTTTCTCGCGTCAATGTACTTGATAACTGGGTAAGATGCTGTAATGTTCTTAATACTCTGTGACAAAGTACTGCCTGACGGTTGATAACATCTGGACCTGAACAAATAACAACACATTTATAACAATGACTGAAATATGTAAACTTAAAAATCATACTTCAAAGTATTATGAGAAAACAGTTACCTAGGTCCAAATAGAGAAAAGACCAGACTTGGGAAGAAAAAGACACAAATTATGATCATTTCATTAATAATCAGCAAAATCACATTAAATTTTTAATTCTCACACATTTATTTTTCTAGAATAGAATTTAGAAATATATCCAATTAAATAAGTTACAACAAACACAGAAAAGCAAGCATTGACAAAATGTATTCCATACCTTCTCCCTTACGAGGCTTGAATAAATTGTGAAAGTGATTTATCATTTTTCTAGCATATAAATTGGGATCCTCGCAGACAGGTCTTGGTACACAAATCTTTGGAACTGGGTGTAGAGCAGATAGCCACTCACAATACACATTCACACAATCACGTATTGTATCATGTTCAGTGAGAGGCAGACTCAGTCCAAAGCAAATAACCTACAAAAACCATGAATAAGTACTAGTGACAAGCTGACAATATTTTTTTTATTCCTGAGACTCACCTCCATACACCATTGAACTTCTCTATCCGTTGCTAGTGGACTACATTCAGCTTGTTGTGTTAATCCCAAATTTGAAGACAATTGTTTCACAACTGCCATAGCAACATCTTTTCCTGCAACCATCGGAAATTTTCCCAAAACGCTCTGACTCTCCTCATTGCTTTGCTGTATTAACGATGACAATGAAGCCCACTCTGAATACATTCCACTGCCTTCTGAGTCTTTTACATACATAATTACTTGTTTATTTCGAATGAAGGCGATTTTTCCTCATAGCTGCAATGAAACACAAATGCACAAAATTAGAAGCTATATTTTCATTTATTTGTCAGGTTACGTCTTTATAACTTAGTCAATAAAAAACTAACCTCTGCCTATCTCCGCTGACAGTTTCTCTGGCACGGAAATATTTAGTTTTATTATTCTCTCGATTGTTGGTAAATATCGATATATCGATACCAATGTCAGTCGTTGTTTCCGATAATTCCTCCTATATTTTTACCAATAGGGAGTTTGTGCCACCTCGAACGTAATGCACTATCGATCTTCTGCTGATGCGTAGTTTCAGTTTCGCACGATTCATAGTGCCATCCGCTATGGCGTACACAAACTCCCTATTGTTATTCGGCTGGTCTCCGCATAACCAGAAACGTTATTATAAGCGCACATTTTCTTGAGCCTCGGAATACCTACCCCACTCCTTTGCCAACATTAGTTGAATTAAGAATAAATGATAGCAACGAGCGTTGAAGACAAAATCTCATAACCAGAAATGTTCGCTCCCGTGTAATAGAAACTATTTTGCATCAAAAAAGGAACTACAAATTTGATGCAAAATTCCCTTCGTCAAAATAACCGAACTCCCCATTCCTCTCGCAACTAGCGAAGCGAGGGCTCAAGAAAACTTGCGCGGGTAATATCACTCACTGATTTGATAAGGACGTAGCAGTTTTAGTGAATAACGATTCACAAGTGAAACAGTTTAATTGTAATAGTCAAAATGATTTCTCGTAGAAACTCATATTTTAAAAACTACTCCAAAATTTCCTCTAGAATTTCACAATTTGAGTATACTTCTCTCTGAAGTCACTTTTAAAAAGTATTCACCTTTACGACCCACGCACATCATGCGGTCCTTGAATGTGTATTGGTTGTCTTATTTGTAGATGTTCGATGTAACAATGTGCCTGCCTGCCTGCAGAAAAATAGGAGACACTTCAAAAATGTAGCGGAATTTGTCAAAAAAAAACCAAAAAAAAAAA